TAATTTTTTTATATGAGTATCCATAGGAAACACGAATATTCATAGGAAACTGTAAGTAGTGAGAATTAAAATAGAGTATCCGGTGTTTATTTCCATACTGGAAAAGGGCCTTGGGAGTTCTCGTTTCTCACCTTCCCATCATGAGCTATAAAAGACAGGATGATTAGGAGTTTGGAGACACTGCAATCCACTACATAAGCACTGGTTTGGGGTTTTATTTCAAATTCTAAATATAAGTTTAACCTTAGCTCAGTTACAAAAAAAAAAAAAAAATTCTGGTGAAATGGGTGTTTGTTTTGGAGGCCAGAACTGTTTCTTTTATGAACAATACTCCATTTTATAGACTTTTCCAAGAAAGGCTGGATAATCCCACTCCCTCCTCCACTTAAAAAAATAATAGAGGAGCTGGAGCTGTGTTTACAAATACTGAGTTGGCCGAGTGTTAACAGCAGGAGGGGTTCGACCCGCCAGCGTCGCAGCTCTTCAGTTATCTGCTCCATAAATGGAGAATCAATCTGCTTCTGGGATTTGGCATATTTTGGGGGGTTTTAGAGGCTGTGTTTTTGTTTAGACTAACAGCTACATCCAGGCTAGTAAAGCAAATGTGTTTGGGGCCGCTCTCCGGCGCAGAGGCCAGCTGGAGCGGACGGGGCCGTGCTCTTAAACTCCTTTTCTAATTTTCCAAGGCACAGCGGCAGCATCCCCACTGCCTTTTGGGTTGCGATTCCCGAATTGTACCCGGGAATAGTTTGGAAGATTTCTGGTTAGCTCCAAAACTTCCCTCTAAAAAGTTCCAGCGAGCGCAGGATTGTTCCCTGGTGCCGTTTAATTTACTGGTGCAGGCGAGCCCGAGCAGCCGGGGTTAATAAAGCCTTTGGTTATCCAGCCTGACCCAACTCGTCAAGGAGCCCTTGAGCTCCTGTAAATGCATTTGTAGGGGCCAGACTTAAAATAAATCTCGAGGCATTTGGCAAACAGCGGCTGATTGAACGGCACACACCACCCGTCACGTGCTGCCGATGAGAAACCTGAAGCAAAGGCTTAAGACCGCGGTCGGAGGCTCCTGCCTTCAGATTTTGCCTTTACGGGACTCAGTAAATATTTGCACGCCGCCTTTAAAAACCAGGCCTGCGCTATCTCCAAGACACCATGTCAAACCCCTTGGAAAAGCGGTTTGGCCTTAGGCAGCTCCCCCTGGATCCCCAGGAGAAAAGCCAGCAGCAAAGCCGGGGATGCTGCGCCCAGCCCAGGCCTGTGGCCACCAGACACGCTTCCCCCGCATTCACCTCAGCTTTGGGGGATGAAATGGGGGGATCCTGCATCAATGTCGTGCACAGAATGGGTTAAAATGAGGGGGTTTGACAGGTAACAGTTTCCATTTTGCTCTTTGTTTGCTGGCCTGAAGCCTGCAGCCGAGTAGCGAGTGAGATTTCTCTTGCTGGGCTTTTGCTTGTTCATAAACGGCACATGTTCTGACGTAGATGCTTCTCTGATTTTCTTCTTTTTTTTTTTTTTTGTTTAAAAATCAAAAGAGTGTTCTTTAAGCAAAGGCAGTTTTGAGGCTTTTTACAAACATCCAAAGTTTTAAAAACCACAACACTTTTTTCTTCCCACAAAACAATGGCATCGTGGGAGGAAAGGATCCATTTTTTTTTTTACTTTTAAAAACTCGTTTAAATCACTGCTGCCAGGCAGGGGACACCAGGAGGGGAGCAGAGAGCAGCTCCAGTCCCTGGGTGTCCCCACCTCGCCGAGGCGAAGCAGTGCCTGGCTCGGGATCTCACAGGAACTCTCCGAGCTCACAGGGTGCCCTCACGTACCCTTCGTTGGCGGGAAAAATACCAATAATCCACACGAAACAAAGGTCATCTATACTTTGATTTCCCCCATCTGTCCCAGGACGTATCAGCTGTTCTTGCTTAGCTTTCTCTGAATCACGAGTCCAGCCCCGATCCTTAAGAAACAAAGCCGGTTGGGGGAGATGAAGAGAAAGGAACTGATTTCTCTTCCTCCCCTGCTCCTCCCTCCTTTGCCGCGTGCTTTTTGGTTTGAGTTATGAATACTTTGCTACGTTCCTGTGGCTATCAAGGCCAGCCTAAGGAAAGGAGGTGAGTCACTGCCATTCAAATGGCTACAAACTGTAATTGAAATAAGGCCAGAGAGCTGGGGCTGATTCAATACAAAAGGACTCAATGTCCGCAGGTCGATGCTCTGACCTTTCAGATATTTCAGCCTGAAACTTCCCAGTATGCAAAAACAGCAGCAGAAATTGCAGCCGGTGCTGCTGTGTCGAGGGCTCTGAGCTGGTCAGAAGTTTTAGGGCGGGCAGAGAAAAGCAGAGAAATTAGGCTGGGAGGAATGCAAAAAAACTTCTGACAATGATTTTTCTTTCTTTTTGTGTGCGTGTCTCCAGGCTGCAAACTGCTCTCCGTGGACATCAAAGCACGTCTCTCTGCTGGAATGTACATCCCCGGACGATCTGATCCTTCGTGAGCTAACTTCCAAGAAAAAAACCCCACAACACCCTATTCTTTATACAGCTTGCTTGCTTTAATTTATGGCTTGCTCACACACAGAAAACCTAAATTTTAACGCTGATACTGCTCCCCTCTAAATCTTCTGGTACGCGGAAGGGCAAGGGTCCATCTCCTCTGAATCCTTGGTGGGAGAGGTTAGCAGCAAGTCACGGAGAGGTGGAAGAGATTTGGAAGCACTGCAAGAAGGTGAAAGGAAATACCCAGCTTTGCCTTTTTTAAACCCATTTGGGGGAAATGAAGCTTCTTCCCTTAAAGGTGGAGGTAGTGGAGTCGGTATGTTCAGCCTAAACCCGGGGTGGTAACTGGCAGGCACCTGCAGCACCCTTTCTTTTTTGCCTTACGTTGGACCCTACATCATATTTGGTGAGCAGCAACGGCAGAACCCGAGCAGGAAAGATGGTTGTAAGGAAGAGGAACGTGAAAGTGTTTACCTTCGCCTTTTTGCTCATCACGGTGACGTCATTTCTGCTGAACTACACGCACCAGATGACCATGACCACCTGGGATCTGAGACATGTCGTCATGCAGTTTTCAAAACTCTTCAAGTACCCCAGGAGACCCTGCAGCTGTCGCACGTGCATTTCCGAGCTGGGACATTCCCTCTGGTTCGATCAGCGATTTAATTCAACTATGCAACCTTTCCTGACCTCACAAAATGCCTTGATCCCTGAAGACAGTTACAGGTGGTGGCTGGTAAGTGGGAGGGGTGGGTATGGCCTGGTGTTCATACGACGGTTGTGGTGTCAGGCTTCAAGCGATGCCGAGCAGATAGCAAAATATAGTTCCTGCAAAAAAGCGTTTGCTGTCTCAGCTGACGAGGCAGGCAGAGGTGGAAGAAAGTGGGCGTTCGTGCCGCTGTTTAGCTCGCAGCGACTCGGAACGCACGTTCACTTCCTCCAAGCTAGAAAAGTCCCTGGCAGAGTTAGAGAGTGAATACAAAATTTGCAAATGTCAGTATTGCCTTTTTCTCCCTTCTCTTCGAAAGACTAGACTTTATAAGCTGGCTTGTTTCGCTTCAGATGCTAAAAAGGGCTTTTGCCATCCATCGAGGTAGCAAAGCAAACTCGCTATGAAGCGTGTAATTCCCCTAGGGCTCTCCCCACAATAAGACATGTAAATAATTAGCAGGATTAAATGGAAAAAATGATTAATTCTCTGTTGTGGCCGATGATGTAAAACAGGTCTGTAAAGCGCGCGGGCGGCCGCAGTTCACTGTGAAGGAGCAGCACCTGCGTATCCTTGAGCAAGGTGGTGCGACGAGCCCAATCCAAGCGTCATGAAAGCTAGCGGATACCTTGTTCAAAAAGCACAGAAGGGAAGAAGGTGTATCCTGACATTTTGCCTAATTAAAGCCCCTTTTATGTTCTCTTGAAACAAAACGTAGATTAAATGAATTGTTCATGGCCTGAACTGCTGCTAACGCCCAGGTTGTGCCTGCAGCACCCCTGTCAAATCGCAGTTTCATTATGACTTGTTTTCTCCTTCTTCAGAAAAAATAGTTTTCCTGTGCCTTCCCTTGAACACACAACAGCCTGCAACTTGGTGTCCTGCAGGGAGCACAACCCTTGATGTTGAATTTGGGGCTTTCAGCCCTTCCCTGGTGCCCTGGGGAAGCGCCTCAGGCAAGCACCTACTTTTGCAGCGGGGCCTTTAGGTTTTGGAGAAGGTGTCAAGTGCTGTGGGAATGAGCCTGTGTCTGGTTTGTCAGGTCTCACTCTGCTTGCTGTTACATTTACTGGTGGAAAAGAGATGCCACTGGCCTCCAGTGTCTTTAACTGTTGCATAAGCAATATCCTCATTTTCTTCTCACACCCTCCTTTTGGCCGTGAGGCTCACATACTCCAGGCGTTGCATCTTTTCACCTGCCCTTTGGCCATGATTTAGATTTCCCGTTGCTTCTGTATTTTCTTGCAGTCCCATACACTTTTTCTTCTCATCCCAACATTTTTCTAGCTGGGCTTTGAGAAGGGAAGATCTCAAGTTCAGGTCCTAGTTCTCCTTGCCCTTGGGTGAGGTTTCACCAGGGAGCTGAGCTGATCTAACACCCAGCACTTTTCAGAGGAGGGGGATACCCCAAATGAAGCTCAGCAGCAGATGAGAGGACGAGGTTATTCATGGACACCCCGAGTGTTGAGGCTGGTTGTGAAGTGCCTCCCAATTGCCTATGAATACAAAAACCGGGAGCGCTTGGTGGGAGGGTGGGATGATCAATCCGAAATCTTGGCATCGGTGTTGGGTGCTGCGCTCCTGCAGCATCCAGGCTGAGGAGGAGTCCTGCGAGACATGGCTGGGTGGGCAGGGTGCCTCTGCTAAGGGGGGGTCTGCCCCCCGAGGGCTTGCACATCACCCCCGAGCAAAGCCACGCAGCATTCTGCACTCAGACCCCAGTCTGACGTAAACATGAGTTTTCAACGCATTCTCTTAAAAAAAAAAAAAAAGCTTGAAACTTTCTGTACAGAAGTCTGAAATTCTGTTTCTCCTTCTTGTAGTGAAACTGAAAAAAAAAAAAAAAAGCACTAATATCTCACTTCAGCTCAACCTGAAACAGATTTTTTTTTTAAGTTAGGGTTGTTTCTTTTTCAGCTAAATTAAAACCAAGTGACTTTCAGGACACCCAAAAGTCTTTTTTTCCTCCCCCCCCCCCCCCCCGCCCAAATAAAAGCTGTCCATTAATTTTCAGGGCTGTCTAACCCTATTCTTAGTGTTTTCATTCATTTTTTGAATTCAGGTCAAGTTCAAAGGGAATACGCCACTTCAGAACACAAAATCAAAGCAGTTTTTTCTTAGATGGTAAAAATAAATCTTCTAAGATTTCTACATTTTTTCCACCATATTTTGTTTCAGCCAGAACTTATCTTCAACTAGAACATGTGAAATATTTTGGTGTCCTGCAAAACTGCATTGTTTATTGGAAACAGTTGCTTACTGAAAATATTTGCCCTAGTCTATGGTAGATGGAGAAAGTGCCTTGACTCCTTTGAAAGATGCTTCTGGCTAAACCCAGGCTTTGCATGGCCTCGAGTTTGCCTTGAAAACTGTTTCCTATATACGTGTTGCTTTGGGTAAGCCTTTCTGAGACAGTTGGTGTCTTTTCTACAGCAAGTAATTCCCAGGTGCATCCTGACTGCACTCCCTTTTCACTGTTCATTTTTAGGTTCGTCTTCAATGTGATTCTGAGATTTCTGCCAGTCTTAAAAAAAACAAAAACGTTACTCATGACCATGTTTTACTGTTGCTTGCTTTGCCAGCTCAGTAATTTGTGACTTTTTACTATATTTACACTGAAAAGATCAGCCATGGGGGGACCTGAAATTGCTTAAACTTCATTTCAGGGGAGAAATGACTGTGTGTTCAGTCTCAGGAACTGACTTCAGACAGCGTGGTGGTTTCATTGTGCTGTAACTGAGACAACGGTGACGGTGCTGGAGCTATTTATTATAAGGCTATGACTTTCCTGTCACAGGGAGACACATGTGATGTGCTTGGACTAAACATAGGCAGAGCCCTTGCCGGAGAGCTGCCTGTCTACCACGCTCAGTCTGCCCTCCCTTCCCATTAACCCTGTTGCTGTATATGTGAATAAGGATTATTCATCCAAATAGTCCCGTGGCATTAGTGTCCCTCCACTTCTAGGAAAGCGAGGACTGATTTCAGTGCCCAATGACCAGTATGTGAGATGAAGTGACATTTGTGGGCAAAGGATGGGGTGGTTTCACTTGCTTGAAGCTCTTCACATGGCTGCCAGGCTGCCTCATGGTTTATTAGGAGAATATATTGTTTAAGCTCTTCCAGTTTGGTAGGATGCAGTCTTTTGGAAGGAACTATTCCTGGCTGCTGTGAATAAAATTGCATTGCCCATCCTGGAGTTAGCAGTACCACCTGTGTGGGTGAGGAGAAGCAGCTAAGAGAAGCACAGTGCCACCATCCCTGTGGCAGCTTGACGTGCTGCACGGGGCAGGACTGCTTCTGGAGAAGGCACCTGAAAACGTCCCTGGCTGTTTCTGTATTCATGGAAACAAGGGGGCTGGTGTCAGGGCTGGTGCTTGCTTTCCATTTGCTTCAATCTACCCAGTTGATAAACTCTCCAATGGTTATGTTAGTCAGGTAACAAATAATGGCCCAGATTCTCCTCCTGGGTATAACCCTGCAGTTGCTCTGTGCTTTTTCTGACTTAAAATTGGAGTCCTCCTCTCTGAGATGATCTGGGCATTAAAAATTCCTCGGACTGTAACCAGCTTGTTAGAAAAACTTTCCTTCCTTCCTTCCTTCCTTCCTTCCTTCCATCCATCCCTCCATCTGCCTTCCCTCATCTTACACTCAGAGACTGTGAGAATCTCAGTGTTTTGGAAGTTGGCACTTGATGTTACGTGATGCCTTTCTTTCTGTTTATATTTTCTTTCCCACCTCCTTGAGCTGGTTCACCTGCAAGTTTTTCATTGTTGTTCCATGACACAAACGCTGTGGACATTTCCACTAAATTTAGTAACCTGTATATAGGAAACAGGACAAGAATTATATGCTGTAACACAGCATAGCATTTATTTATAGTTTTCTTGGTTTATTCTCAGGGTTTTTGGGGATTGTTTTTGATGGTCAGAAAGTATAAAAAATAGAAGATCAGAACCTGCTGTTCTAAATCCAAAATAACCCTGTTGAGGTTGATGGATTAAAGCTGTGATAAGTAAAATCAGGCTCAGAGTTCTCTGGCAATCTTATCTGGAGCACATTGTTCATAAACTACCACGTTATAACAATTTTTATCTCGAGTCTTATGATATTTGAGGGTTTTGCTTTTTTTTTTTTTTTAAAAAAAAAAGCTCAGCTCTTAATGCCGTGTGATTAGCGTATCTAAAAGAAAATGTTAGCTTTTAGTCCTTCTGTTTGTAGGAAAAAAAATATAAATTTATGGCTTAAAGATTTGCTAACCAGACGGCGAACAAAAGGGCATCCCCAACACATGCATTGGGGAAATCGTGGAAGCTGCACTTATTTTTAAGACAATACCAGAGCTGCTTGGCACCCAAGTCATACATTTTGAATGCTCTTTGTAGAAAATTTGCCCAAATACTTTGATCACCAGAAGTCTTCTTTAAAACTGGGACACTGTCTGCGATACTTTGAAAGCAATACAAAGGGCTCAGCGCTCTGAAGGTAGCGTGTTCACAGCAGAAGGTGGTACCAAATCCAGCCCAGGTCCCAGGCTTTAGTCCCAGTGCCTGCTACATGCCCAGTCCCACCTGGTGGTGCACTGCTTGGGTGCAAGCGTGATATTCAGACCAACCTTGGATATACTGGGAGAGAGAACCTGAGCCTGGGCTACCTCTTATCCCCACTGGCAGCCCCCACGTGTGTCTTGCTGGGCGGCAGCTCCAGGGTCTCCTACGGCAAGGACAGATGGATCTGAAGGTGATCCAAGCTCTTGGGTCCCTCTAAGTACTGCGATGCGCTCTGCCGAGCTGCAAGCATCCTGCAGCCAGCAACGAGGGCACACAGAGCTGGTGCAGGCAGGGTCTTCGCTCCGTAGAGTAGTGCGGAGGTGACCTGTACCTGACGTGGAAGTCAGAAATCATACAATTTGGCATACGCATATTATTGTGTGTTATTTACATAATATATGCACATTACATTCATATTTGAGAATGCATGTTTTTTGACAGGCACAAATCATTAAACAAAGCCTGAACTCTTGAAAGCCCCTATATTCTTCCCCTTAATCTCTTTGATGCATAGTAATTGCAGGACATTAAATATAACAATAATAATGCCATATTTTCTAGACCAAGGAGGCATTTTTAAAATTGATGGTTTCCTTTTAACCTCTCCTTCAGTCTGCAAAATGGAGATTACCTGGATTTGCCCCACCAGGCTGTTGCTAGGATTAATCTTTATACAATGTCTTATAGCTGGGAAGCACTGCATGAGCATTAATGCCTCCAAACTGCTGCAGCGAGGCAATTAGTAGCTGCGCAAAAGAGATTCTCATGGGGCTTTATTCCCTCTTTATCTTTTAAAAACAGTTTAAAAAAATTAGAAAAGCCATGAAAAACAGTATTGCTACACCAGCTTGCCCAGGCTGCCTGGCTGTGTGCTTGCAGGAGGGCTGCCCCAGCAGTGCTCCTGCTGCCAGACCCACGCCTCTACCTGCCTGTCCACCACGATGGCTGTGTCGTGATCCATGCTCCATCTGCATCCGCATCACACCAGTGATTACAGGTTATGCAGCATGTTTTCTACCTAATAAGTTGGGATTTTGAAGGTGTATTTAATACGCTGTCAAATTTGTCCGTGGATGTGGGATGCACAGGCATCAGGAGAGCTTTCCTTTGAGGCTCTCCTGACTGTAGCTGTGTCCTCGCAACTCCAGGCTCTGAGCTCTGGGCAGCCTTGGCTGAATTCACATCCTACCCTTGAGTTTTGGGGATTGCGTCTTGGTGATCGCTAGTGATGTAATGGTACTGGAGAGCCCCAGGAAGCCTTCCAAGAAGTTTATAAAAGTCATTTGTCATCCTTAACGGAGGCGTGAAAGAAGGAGCAACAAGTTCTTCCTTGGAAAGCCACTCATGGGTAAAGAAAGGAAGTACATAAACTTTGAGGGTTTTTTTTTGTCTTGCTATTTATTTTTCTTGCTTTTTTAAATAAGAATATGCAAAACCAGCTATTAAATTTCTGTATGTGAAGTGGGGAGGTTCTAAGGCTTGGAGGACAGGGTAGTTTGTCTTCCCTGTGAAGATGATTAGGAAACTTCTCAATCTGGACTCCCAGTTATAGTTTTTAACAACCTAAGGTGAAGAATTCTCTCTCAATTGCCAGACAAATATTTTATGGAGGAGAGCTGGAATTTTAAGTGATCTAGTGATATTTTGTATGTGGACACAAGGTGAGCTAAGATGATTTTTGAACTTGGGCAAGAGGTTAAGTTGCATCATTACACATGACTGTTGCTTGCACAGACTTCTGAGGAAAGCAGCTACTTCACTCAGGACACAGGGGTCAGGTATTCCAGTGTATTTAAGCCCATTTCTAGCAGTTGTATCCATACACATATCCCTGGCACACAGCTACGGCACTTGGAGGAAGGGTGCTGTCCCAGCTGAACCACATGGCACTGACATGGCTCTGCCTTGCACGGCATGGACAGACTTTCACCCTTTACTTCTGTTGATTTATGGGAAAGGCCAGACTGGTGGGAGCTTGTTAAAACAAAAAGAAAACATTACTTAAAAAAAAAAAAAAAAAAGACAAAAATTTGGTGGGGGAAAGTGACCTATAATGGGCTTGTAATTGTAATGCTATTAAAATGGTCTTTTTCAAGAAGTCAAGTAAACATTGTGCAATAAGGAACTGGCTGCACATTATGTCTGAACTTTGAAAAGCTGTATCTGCCTTGGAGTTAAGCAGCTTCATTGCCTGCTCTGCTCTGTTTTGCTGAAATGTCAAAGACCAACCAGTGCTGACTGAAGATTAGGCCTGAAAAGTGTAGTTCGATCAGATAATCACTGAGGAAATTAAAACAGGGCATTTTTAATGAGTTAAAGATGGATGTCTTATTGTATGAATGTTCAGCACACAGGGCAGTAAGGTCATCATCCTATTTAAGGTCTTTGAAGGAATCTCTAACGTAAGTAATAATCTCTGCTGTGGAAATTGTGTACAACCGAGGGATTGTAGGACAATGGTGTCCTGCTCTCTGGCTGGTGTTGGTGCCAATGTTTTAGCTTGGTTGCAATGGAGTTACTCGAGACTGATAGCAGCACAACAGAAAGAAAAGGCAGATCCCTGTTCAGTGTAAATGGAGGTGCCTATCCATGATAATGTTTCTTATCATTTTAATGCATCAAACAGAAGTCAATACTCCAGTCCCTTTAAGTATGCCTTCATTCTGGCTATTTTAACTTAAGAGGGCTCAAGTGCTTAGGATATTCTGAAAATTACCATCTTCATCTGAATTTTCTCAGGTAAAATAAGTTTCAGAATAGATTTTGGGTTTGTTTGGATTTCCCTCTCCCCCCCTCCCCGCCCCCCCCCAGCCGAATAACTATGTTCTTAAAGTATTTTGGTGCACGTTTGGTGGTTTTCCCTTTCATTTGATAAAGACAGTTAATGTCAGTTAACCTATACAGAGAGAGGGTATACATGGGTGTATGCACATAGGTGTTCAAATAATTCAAATTAATTTCCTTTTTTAAAAAAAAAGTTTGATTTCTCAAAAGTTTGATTATACACCTGATCCTACACTCTATGATATCTATTAAAAGTCTTCATTTATTTTGAAGGCTGCAGACTTTCTAACATTAAATCTTTTTCATAAACTCAGAGTTTTAAAAACAGGTTAGATCGGATTCATAACTAATATACCAGAGTTTAAATATGTGAACATGTGTTTGTAGCATCACACACAAATTTAGAAGATAACATTTTGCACTTTGAGCCATCCACTGAATAGTGACATACGCAGTAATAATGACAGTGCTTGTTTGAGCATCCTAATTACCTCACATCCTAATCACCTTGTCCATATCTGAGTATATAGGCTAGCAAGGATTAGCAGTAAGATTAAGTCTTTGTATGCAACATTTCTTTGTCATCTTTGTTTCAAGTCCTTGGCCCTGCTGTTGTCTTGTAGCTCTGAGCTCCACGGGCTTATTGTTCAATTCAGTGCAAATAAGGTTGCTTTACCTAGGTCTGCAAAGAGACAGCACAAAATTTAAACAAAAATTACAGTGATACATCTGTGTGTGTGTTTGAGTGTGGAGAGAGAGAGAGATAGCAGGACAAATGAACAGTTCCTGGTGCAGTCAAGGGAAATGCATCAGTAACTAAAGCCAGATTACCTCAGGCCATTGCTGGGAGTTGTGGGAAAAGGTGTTTCTCCTCCCTCCCTCCCTCCCTGTGTCTCCTTGCCCTGGGCTGGCAGGGCAAGGGCAGAGCCTTTTGGCAGATTTTGTGTTAGAAGTCATACTCCTTTTGTGAACTTGCAAGCAAGCGGCACCAAAAGGGTGGGCAATGCTTTTTGTGAGCCTGCCAGCACTCCCAACCTCTTTAGTAACCCTCAGAGAGCAGAACTCCAGAAAGGGAGTGTCTCGCCATCACCTGCCCTGCACCTTGCCTGTACCTTCCAATCCAGCCATTGTTTCCACCATGCACCACAGAGCTGCTACAAAAGAGTTTCCCTCCATGGCAACAGACACAATGACCAAGGTCCGGGTGGTTTTCTTCATCCTGGAGCATTTTTTAGATGGATTTACATCTCCAGCCCTCAGGGCTAACTCTACCGTAGTTTCCTGTGCACTAGCAGCTGGTTCCTCCACACTCCAGAAAAGCAGCAATGAGATCTCCCACTTCCAGTTCTGGCATATGCCAAAATTTGTGGAAGGGATGTTGGCCACATCTGCGTTCCATCAGATTCTCTCCTTCCTAGGAGGTTTTAAAAAAAATCGTATGCATGTCCTAAGAGAAGATATCTGGCCCAAGGTGGGATTAGGCTTACAGACACCAGAGGAACATTTATCCTGCTAGAGTCAGCCTTGGGGAGAACATACGATCTGTTCCACTGTGGCTAGATAGACTGAGGAGGTAAGGGAATCTGAGAAAAAGGAAGGGAAAAGGGGAACCAACTTAAAAAAGTTAATGAGAAGGGATTTTCCACTTTTTTTTTTCTGTCTTCACACTTCTGCTCCCAACCCGAAGCCTTGCAATGCGTGCTGCAGGAGACAGTGTCTGCAGGTAGATGCAAGAATGGTCTTTGAGAAGACATTTGAAGCTACATCTTGCTCACAGACAAGCTAGCTATATCAGTAACCTGGGGTGATTTTTCTCTCTAACAGAAATTGCAAGGAGAGAAAATGCCGAAGAATATTAATGCTACTCTCAAGGAATTGTTTGAGATCATTCCCGGGGATGGGGATCCACTGCAGGAGCGAGGCACTTACACGTGCAGACGGTGCGCCGTCGTGGGCAACTCTGGGAACCTTCTGCAGTCTCAGTATGGCCAAGATATTGACTCCCATGACTTTGTACTCAGGTGAGTAGGCACTACCTTGGCTCCAGACATCTCTGTTGTTTAAGATCCATAGGTATTTTGGGGGACAAGTGAGTAAACAAGATTTCAGGGGCTATTTGGTGAAATCTGGTACTTAGGTCAAAACTAAGTTCCTGGGATATCAACTATGTGCATTGGAGGTACAACCTCATGTTTGAGCTTGGAAAAATAAAATAAATTAATAGGTGTTGATACTGTAGCTTGTTCTGCACCATCCATAATTGCTTGTGTTAAAAAATATCCCTGAAAAAAACTGTAGTTTTGAGTAAAAGTTATTTCTGCAGCTCACTCACAAGTGATCTTTTACACACTTAATTGATGACTGTATCAGATTTGACTTACTTGCACCGGTTCATGCTTAAGCAACAGTGGGGTGGGAAAGCCAAAGTCACTTTGCAATGGACAGGAGACAACTGGTTGGCTGCAGCTACTTTCTGAAGGGTCGCATCACCTCTTCCTTTCAAGGCAAGTTCCTGCTGGCTATTTTGTCCCACTGAAACACCAGCAGGAACTAGGTAAGCTAATCACCCAGAGTGCAGCCAAGATATCTGGGCTGACTAAATTCATCTGTAATGCATTGTCCGGCTTTCATACTGCAGGTGCCAGTACAGCACAATTTGAGGAGCAATGCAGGGCAGGTCAGAGGGATTGCTGTTGGAAGTACCACATGTGGGATTATACTCTCAGAAACAACATAACCTTTGGTGGGAAGCTGTGCACTGAAGTCAAGACTGAATCAGCAGCAGATGAGCACTATTTGAACTGTTAAGCCACCTTAAGCCTCTTAGCCTCCAATGTGGCTTGGACACGCTGTGGAGTCTTTAGATGACATCTAAATGTTCATGATCAATCATTTCAGGAGTTGCTTTGTCAGTTGCATGCCTTGCCCTCTGCCAAAAGTACTTCCCCAAGGGCAGAGCAGCCGACCTGCTCTTCAGATACAAAAAGGGAAGTGAAGAGCCCTTGACATTAGTCCTGCGGGTTGCAAATGTGAGGCAGCTGAGGTGCCTCAAAATGTGAGTTTATGCTTAACTCCGTGTCCCTCACTGGGGAGACAGCCCCGTTCCTGTGTGGACTTTCTTATCTTGCCTGGCTTGCATTCCCAGATTCATGCAGAAAATGCTTTGCTAGATTCAAAGAAGACTATTGTTTTTTTTTAGTAACTAATGAGTAACACAGTCAGATGTGTGTTTCTGCTCTGAGGTCTTACCCTTCACATAGCTGTGCGTCCCTGACAAGGGAGAAACTCTCTATGACTTGGAATTGAACCTTCCAGTCTCAGATTTATATATTAGCAATCTCAAGCCGTATCTGAAGGGATGACACAAGATTTTAGGATTCACCGTAGAAATTTGTGCGGAAAAGGTGACCCCTTTGTGTGTTAATCTAACAAACAAAATCTCTAGTGAACTGATACTCAGTTGCACGTGCTCTGGCAGTACAGCCAAGCGTGGGGAAGAGCCAAGGATTCTGAGGGGACACCTTTCCTTCCAAACACTGTGTTCCAGCCCACTTTTATTTGTTTAACTATCTGCTTTGATGATAGGAGGAAATTCCTGCTCAGTCCTTCCTGCTCAGACTGGGTGTGAGCCCTATCTTCTGCCATGCCACACAGCCAGCCCCACCACGGACGATGGGGAAGGTACACAGACCCGAGGGCAGAGTGTTAGTAAGATAACTGAGATGCTTTGTCCTGACAGAAAGAAAATCCCATATTTTCTACCTGAGACTGAGTAATCTCAAAATAAAACATGGTCTCATGCTTTACTGAGTATTTCTACACAGTATGATGTGGGTCACTGGCAGGGAAGATCTTAGCTCGATAACGAATCCACACAGGCTGGGATAGTCTGCCCACGCTAATATCTTCCTTTGAGGGAGTTAGACGAAACTTAACTAATTCACCTAGGGGAGTAATGCAATAACACAGCCTGGCATAGACTTGATAAACAGATTTTATCTCCCCTGTTATCAGTGACCAGGGCAGCGTGTTGTCTGGTAATGTACGAGGCTCCTCATCACCTCGTCAGCTACATCCTTCCTTGTCCTCCCTGCACTTCTGCTAATTAGACAGGACCTGAGCTAATGTCTCTCAGGAGACTCCAGTGGGTTGCAGAGAACCCCTATTCTGCTCAGACCCAGCTTGGGGGTTTCTCCATGGTGTTGCACAGCACCATGGATTCATGCAAAGTCAGTCAGCTACTTTGGGGATCTCTAATGTGCATTACACTGCACCACAGAAATACGCAAATCTGTATGAGCAGTGAGCTAATGCGTCAGGGAAGGAATTGCTGATGTGTCCCCAATTTACTTCCAGAAGTGAACACAAGCGTAGAGGCGTTTCTGCAGTCCTGAGTTCAGAAACCCCTGCTCTGTTCCCCGATACACCCAACGTAAGGTAGCCCTCTTGGCCAACACGTTTTGACTGAGCCCTGGTGGGCCCTGGGCAGTTCAGGCACTGACCCCAGGGTTACTGAAATCACACCATGTGTGTGCAGACTGACTCTAAGTAAATGTATTGAAGTTGGGGGAGATACTACTAAGTAAATTTTGAGTAAATGAAGTGTCAGCAGTAGGTCCTGGATTTGTCACTGTGGCTTTCGTGCCTTTTCATGGGAGGACATAAGAAATATTTGTTGCTGTTTATCACATATAACATGGTTTGTTACCTTGACCCTGGACGTCCAAATACACCTGTACAGAAGGAGGGATTAAAACTGTGAGAAATCAAGCTGATGGACTTCAGGACAATATTTTTCTCACCTACTGGAGGCTTCAGCTTTAGGATGAAAGGAGATGTGTCCTCATGGCCTTGCTGGTCTTTTGACCAGCTTTCCGCTGACTGTAAAGGGAACCCAGGGATGTGCTCAGAGATACACTTGCTTGGCAGAAACTCCCATTCAGTCTGAGGAATCTCACACTAAAGCTGAGCTTTCATTTACTTTTGATTTATTCACTATGGGTAATGGTCATTTCAGCCTACTTGAGGACCACTACACCCTGTCAAGGCTGTCTGAAGACACAGCACTCTCCTTAGCCATGGGAGCATTTTCCTGCCACCTCCAGCAAATGATTTGGGGAAGAATCACACATATTTGTACCTACCTAATTCCTCTCCCACTTCACAGAATCATAGAATTGTTTTGGTTGGAAAAGACCTTTAAGATCTTCAACTCACTCTCTCACTTCTTACTTTTGGGCTGCAGAATGAACCGTGCCCCCACCACTGGCTACGAATCCGATGTTGGGAGCAAGACCACTCACCACTTCGTTTACCCCGAGAGCTACAAAGAGCTGGCAGAAAATGTGAGCATGATCCTGATCCCCTTCAAAACCCTGGACCTGCGCTGGGTTGTCACCGCTCTCACCACAGGCACCATCAACTTGTGAGTAAGGGCAGCGGTGAGTGGGCAAGCTGAAGGGGTGGGAGCCCCCACATGTTGCTGTAGGACAGAAAAGCCCACACTGGGCAAATCCCCACTTCTGATAAGCCTTTACAGACCCTCTCAGGTCAGGGTTCAGTCCTGAATGCTTGCTTTCTAGGAAAAGCTTAATGTTATGGTGCAGTCTTTGAGATGAAGATCCAGATCCAGCTCTTCACAGCCTCACACAGTGGTCTCAGAGAAATGAAAGGGGGATTTTTTGCTGCTGGAGGCGGCCAGTTTGAGCAGTGGCTTCGTGGGCTTTAGGGCTCATTGCCTCACTTTGGGCTTCTGCTCATCCTTCCTCCTCTCCAGTCCCTTGGAAGTACAGTGGGTGCAGCCAGCATGTCCGTACCCGGGCGTACCCATCAGAAAGCCATCTGCAGAATCCGATGTTTGCTGGGTTATTCATTCGGTGGTGGTCCTAGACACCTGGATTATCCCACTTGAGACACTTAGGTGGCCAAGCGGTCTTCCAACACATATTATCCCACTTGTGGAAGAGGACAAGGAGGCAGAGAGGGACGCGCAGGCTGCTCACAGAAGGCAGTGAGAGCAGAAGCAGACTCGGACACTTAGTCCCTCATCCACAGCATCCTCCCCTGGACAGGTCAGTCAGGAGTTCTGTCTGTCTTTCCTGGAGGAAGGTGATTGAGAGCCATGCAGAGGAGACACTGTTGTTTCATGTGTCATCTGTGTGCCTTATCTTTAATTAATGTTTTACCTGGCAATAAAGTGCCACGCTGGTAGTTTTTCTCCATTTCTTCTTTGTGCTTTTGGAAGTAAATGTTGTCCTGCTTAATACATTTATGGTAGCACTAAAATTAGAAATGTGAACAAAACACGTTTCTTCTGGACGCCTGCTAGCAGATTCTCTCCCTTCCTATAAACTGGCTTTTCATAATCCAGGGAATGAAATACGTGACATTTGTACTGTGTGTGAGGTTATGTGCTGGATGTAAAGCCACAACCTGGTGGGATTGCTTGGTGGTCCCTGCTACACATAGACAGCAACAGCAGATCAGATTACTTTATTCCAGAGAAGCATTTCAAGACATTTCAACTTTTTTCCTAATTTCAGAAGATTAAAAACTTGGAAAAGTATGTCCATATTGACTGGGGATAAGACTTGCTTCACTTTTTTAAGCAAAACTTTTTGATGGGACAACAAAAGGAGTTTTATTTCTTCTTTTCTTTTTCGTTTCTCTTTTTGCAAATGCATTTTAGATTCTTTTCACTTTTTATTAAGATTCTCTGAACTTGTAAAAAAATTTGATTTAGTCTCTTTTTACCTTTTTTGTCACCAGCACTTAGTATATACAGTCATAAGTTGTCTTGAAAAAAATCCATCTTCAGGACACACTTGTAACTTGGAAAAATCATCCCACTTAGAAAACTGGCTAAAAAATATAGCTTTTTTTGCAGGGCTTAGATTATTTTTTTCTTTTAGAAACTAAAAAGATAAAAAAGGTGGAGAACTTCTGCCTATAAGCTAGGATCTGAATCCTATCAGAAGCAATGGAAAGCTCCCAGCTTTGAATGAAGCCCCTTGCTGCATCTTTGCCATGTCCATGCCTGCACTAGGAAGAGGAGCCCATAGAGGGCCAGTTGCTGCCATCATCACCCATCCGTGTTTCCATCACTGTGACTGCTCTGTGCCCAGATTGAAAAGGTTTTAACTACTTTTTGTCGAGTATTTACTTCCAGAAGTGGCAGCAAATAACTTGCAGTGGTAAAGTTGAGTGAGCCCTTAGCCTATCAGGAAGATATAACTAGTTGACTACAAGGCAGTCACAGCATATGAAAGGAAAAACATCTTTGCTTAATAAATTACAGAATATATTATATATTTATAATTAGATTGTATACATGGGCTTGGTAAGGATCTGGTATAAATTAGTGTGTGAGTATTTAACCACATGGAAGAAATACCAGTATTTTAAGATTTTTGCCATACTCAAAGCAGAGAAATTGCACATTTAATAAGCTGGTACTTGCTGAAATAATAAAACCAGAAAATCATAAGAACACAAATCATAATAATATATGTAACATAATTTTAGGCTAGCAGAATAAACCTATAAGCATGCATGAAACACACAGTGTCAGATACAATGTATAAAGAAATTGTTGACTGTACATTTGTAGAAGAGAGAAGGCAGGAAATAACAATATAAACCATCTGAAATTCGGTATTTTAGAAGAGAAGAAATACTCACCTCCTCACCCTGACCCGCATGGCCATCATGCCCTGTGTGCAGGCTGCATAGTATAAACTGAATTTAGGTTAACAAGAACCTAAGTGCATTCATAGTTAAAAATAATAAGCATCCTCTATTGGTTAGAATTTTACACAATGTTTAATTTCCTGTATCCCATTCAAATGAAGTAATAATTTCCTAAGACTCAAAACCTGTGAATTAATCATATTCTCCCCCCAGTAGTATTATTATTCAAGCAATTTTTATGGTTCGAAACAAAAGCCAAACTGCAGATGGCTTTAATATTAGATTGAATTGATAGCTGAATGATTCTCTCAGACATGTCCCATTTGACTGATGGATGTCCCTTTTCAAAGTGGCTCTCTAAGGGCTGAGCATTATTCTAGAAAAAGACAAGAAAAGCCTTCTGGGACGAAAAACCTTCAGCCCTCATCAGTCATATATTTAGCCTAGTTGCCTTAACTTGCCTTCTGCAAGTCTTTTAGGAATCTCCATAGTGAAAAAGCTCCATGTATCTCCGCTTGGTTTGGCAAAGAGCAATGTTCGTATTCCTTAAAATGTTTCACATCTTCCACTTGGGTTAAGGATCCAGTAAATGTCCTGTGCAAAGTGGCCAGTAGTAATGGCAGACTTCACTACAGCCCTGCAAAGTGGCTCGTAGAAGATGTTTTCCAAATTATACGTATTCCACCTGTCGCTATCTTCATCACAGGCTTCACTCTTTGTCCCACTCCTCCGTGGTACTTACTGGGTCACTAACTCCCTGGCTGCTATGCGGCCCATGTTTTACATGATCATAATGGTGTAGGTCTCCATTTGGTCTTAATCAGCACGCCAATACTTTCTGTGCAGTTGCATGCAATTCTGCAGCCAGCTGACAGCAGGACTTGGGTATTGTTTCTGAAAAAATGAAATATCCCATCATAAAAATGGCTAACATGTCATCTGACAAGAGCTACAGTAGTCTCCTGGTTGGATCAGAGCTGTCTGCAAACACTGTCTTGAACATTGCATACTGTTCTTTTCGGTCTTCTACTGTACCTAGCTGGATGTCCCATGAAATATGGCCCCCTTGTTTCCTCCACATCATCTTTTTAGAAAAGATTGGCTGTTTATTTATATAATAATGAGGAGATTTTACCAGCAAAGAAACCCTTTTTGTCTTCATAACCACAAAAAGGATATGGGATCACCAAACCTACTTCTACTGACTTCGCTAATCAAGGTCAGGTGTGGGAAGCAGCTGCCAGGGCAGATTTGCTGAGAGCAGATTAAGAAGTCTGCATGGGTGTCCCTTTCCCCATTAGCATCTTGTGTCACATCTCAGGAGGGCTGGAACCCACCTGTCACCTCTCCCACTGCATCCAGCCCAGAGCAAGGATCACAGGTCAGCGGTGCTCAGAAGTACCTAAGGAGATGACGATGTTGCCAGGTCACCATTGGTTTGGGAAGACTTAGACTAATGTTTCAAAGTGTTGATGGTCCATGGTTCAAAGAGAAATAAATCCTTAATGACAGGAATCCTGTTGTTACCAAAAAATCCAGCAAAAATATTTAGATTGAACTAATGGAAGACTTTGGTGATTTATCACAACCCATCTAAAAAGTATGCAGGGTATATTTTGGGATGTATTCCAATTACAAGGCCAGTTCACCAGAATTTTTTCACTTGAAACAAAATCAGGGAGTTTTCTTTTTACAGTACTCGTGATGAGCTGTGCAATGCTAGCATGCACCGTGCATGAGATATGGGGAAGAAAAGATTTTTTTGTTTTCAAGACATGACTCGTGATTTTAACCCAGTCATAAGGTATGACTTGGAATTTTTATGCTGGGCACTGCAGGAAGCCTTCAGCGTCCCCCTGAGGAGGAGGGGAATAGCTTGCTGGTGAGGGGCTGTGTTCTGGGAGTGCCCGAGTTGCACATAAGCACAGAAATGATGAACTCTACTACCGCCTACTCTGAAAATCATGGAGTAGTTACAAGTATTAGGAGGGGAAAAGTCTCCCCCTGGTGGGAAAAGGTTTCTCAGCCATGAAATTAAACAGGTAGCCCTTCCCATTAGCAAAGTGCAAAGACTGCAACAGTCACAATCCAAGAATTAGAAGTCATGGGCTCCACATAATATTGACTCTACGGTATATTGTCAGCTAAATCTTTGGTGTCCTACTGTCAATAATTAACTTTAAAATTTAATAATGTAATCGCTTCCTATAAACTTGCTTCAGTGACAGCTTAGTTCTTTTCATGCTGTATTATTTAATTGTAGCTTCATTTTCCAACATCTTCTTGAATTTATTACTTTCAAATAATTTGAATTTGATACTGTACATGAAGAATATTCTTTCTTTCTTTCTTTGGAAATACATGAAAATATAAATATGTTGGGCTTTTATTAATCTTGGTCTTGTTTTGTTTTGTTTTTTTTTTCTTTTAACAGCACGTATGTTCCAGTTCCACGGAAAATCAAAGTCAAAAAAGAAAAGGTGAGCAATGCTGGTTTGTGAATTTGTTCTGCTAATCCACTTGTAGGTCTTTTGCCTCTTTGGGAGACTGCAAGAATCGAAGGAACCCCTTGACATTCATACAAACTGCAACCAAAATACACACACTTTACAAGGCTCAGCTAAGCTAAAGGTTGTGTGCCATTCAGGACATAGATCAACCACTAAGTAAGTGAGGTTGGAAAGAAACTGCTCTTGTGACTATGCTATTGCGGTATGGCTGTTCTGAAGGTTGCATTGCTTCCTCTGGTACTGCTCAGGGAGATTTAAGGTGCACCATTGGCCAGTGGTGCTCACGCTCCACAGCAGTTGCTCTGTTCCCACCCGTTGCAGTCATTTGGATGTAACGACACTTTGAGCTGTGGAGAGCCTTTGGAGTTTTTTTAAAATAATTTGACTATTTGAATGCCAGGGATGTTTCTCACTCCCGGGTCAGTTCCTTGTAATAAGGAGCTAAGGGAACTCTGAACAAATAAAGCTGGGCTCAGACCAAGTCCATGCTGGTTTTGTCTCAGGTGTATTAATGCTCTCCCAGGCAATGTTCAAGCCAGGTTTGGAGGATAGCACAGACCAGGGAGTATTCTGTTTTGCACAGGGACAGAACTGAGCAATGTGGACATGATCTGTGCCATGCCACTTCCCTCAAGGCTAACAAAACACCTCTGACCCATTTTATTTCATAGCCCGGAGGTGTAGGAGGCAGGAGGACCTCATTTCTCTGTGAAGGTCGAAGAAAGATGGGCAAACCTGGTGCCCATCCTACAGCAGTCAGAAGAGTGTCCATCCCATGCATACTGACTCATTGCCCAAGTATGCTGAGGTTTAACAGACCTGCCCTACTGCTGGAGGCAGGATTTCCCATGTGACAGGGTGGTTATTCCCATGTCGGACCTTTAGCCACCATGCAAAGACTTCTGTTGTTGTAGTTGCATGGTTTGAGGGCATAACCAAGGCAAACCATGTAGGGAGAGGAAAAATGTTTCTTCTTCTATAGACCTTCCAGCAAAATAAAAGTCTCATTCTCTCAGCCTTTGGAGAGGCTGATTTTTCAAAGCTCAGGCTTTTGATGTCTCAAGGGCTGGTAAAGTAAGACATTAGTCCCATAGCTTTAAAATTGCAGATTAAAGCACATATCCTTCATTCAGGAGGCCAGGTTTTGCCAAAGGCTTCAGATGAGACCTTTAACCAGTATCAGTTTATATCCCTGTGCTTCAAAGCGAGGACCTCTAGGGGTATTAAATAATCACTTGGCTCATCCCTACCTGTTGTGAGGAACACAATAACTTCTGCAAAACCCTTGTGAGATGCACTACCGCAGGGTGTTAAGCTCACATCACACTTGAGCAGCACCAGCCCAGGGTACGGCTGTTGATAGAGAGGAGAGATGAGAAGCTTGTAGTTCTTCCCACATCTTGCAATGCAAAACACCCTGTGAGAAGCGATTACACACAGATACAATATCAGCAATTAGCCTCTGACTTTGTAAAAGGAAAAGCCCTGCAGCTACCCAGATAGCACTGAAACGCTGTCACTCTAATTACAAACGCAGCACGGAGGGAAAAGCCTCTCCGCCTGATTCAGGGAAGGGGGTTGAAACCAAGGGCTCCCACCAGTCCTTGGATTTACTGCACAGTCAGGTCTGATCTGAAGTGCTCTGTCTCCATTAGATGGCCTAATAAATTCCCCAGGAGATAACCAAGTGCAATTTATGTCTGGTGGAAAAAAAAAAAAAAAAAAGCAGCATATGAAAATAGCAAGTTTGGTAAATAGGAGAAATACAGCTGACACAACCTGATAGGCTTCCTGATGGATTACACCCAACCCCTGGTTTCCTGAGATCTGTACCTATAGACATTGCAAGATACGGTTGGCATATTGTGCAGAAGATAGAGTTGCTCCTACCTTTCCACGCAAATTACGGTTGGACTTGATGATCTTCAGGGTCTTTTCCAGCCTAAGTGATTCTATGATTCTATGAAATCTGGCATGGCACCTTGGCTTGCCTTGCTCAGGCCTCCAACTCCCCAGAGCTCACCTGCCTTACAGCAGGACACTGCAGGGCGAGGTGAATGTCTGATTTTCTTCTCACTTGTGCAGCCC